ATGGTGTCAGAAGTGGCCGGACCATCCCACGACACATCGACACAAGTAATCGCTTGACCCACTTCGTACGACAGGTGACATACGCCATAACTGGAAATTGTTCAAGCAAAAGCTGGAGCTATACTTCACCTTAACGGAACCGTACGGCAAGCCGTTAAGGGACGATGCGAAGACCGCGTTACTCTTAAGCTGGGCGGGAGAAGACGCCATCGAGGTCTCCAATAATTTCATTTTCGCCAAATGGGAAAGCTCCAACAACTACGAGAATGTCGTAACAAGTTCGACAGTTACTGGGACGCTCAAACGAACGAAATTTATGAGCGCTACATGTTCCGAAAAGAATCCAGGCAGAAGGAGAGACCTTCGAGCAATTCCTTCGAGGCATGAAGAAACGAGCACGTTCATGTAACTTCGGAGGACTGACGGAGTCGATGATTCACGACCAAGTTGCTATCGGAACCAACGACGACCACCCGATATTGAGACTCCTGCGAGACAAGCAGCTTACGCTGGCGAAAGCCGAACAAATGGGCAAAGCGTCTGAGGTAGCAACCCTTTAAAAGGAAGCCCGGGGGTGGAAAAAGGAACAATTAGATCCCGTGAAGATAAAGACGGCAACGAAATAATCACAAAATAAATTCAAGTATTCCAGTGCGGCCGGGAGCACAATCCACGTAGCTGTACTGCCTACGAGAAGACCTGCAGGGCATGTCAAGCGAAAAACCACTTCGCAGCCTGCTGTAGAAAGAAAGGCGGAAGTCGGTGAATTCAAAGGCGAAGACGACGACGTCGAAATTCTTGACGTACCAGTTGACAGCCTCAGGAGCCAGCGAGACAGGACTGTGAAGGCAGTCATTGCCGGCGAAGAAGTGGTGCTAAAAGTTGACACGAGATCCCAAGCGAACCTTCGTCCCTACTCGGTCTGCAGGAAGATTCACGCCACACTCTAAAAAAAAGGGGTGTAGTACTTACACCCAGTGGGGTGTATGTGACTTGTCCCATATACGACACCCCCATGGGTATATATGCGACACCCCAAAAAGGGGTGCATACATGCACCTCATTTTGAGGTGCACATGTGCACCTCAGCGGGTGCATAAGACACACCCCACCCCGGGGTGTACATATATTCCGTTTCTCACTTACTGGGAATACTGATATACCCCATTTTTAGGTGTACGTATATTCCGTTTCTCGCTTGCTGGGAATACTGATACACCCCATTCTTAGGTGTATGTGTATTCCGTTTCTCACTTACTGGGAATACCGATACACCCCATTCTTAGGTGTACGTATATTCCGTTTCTCACTTACTGGGAATACTGATACACCCCTCTTTTAGGTGCACATATATTCCGTTTACCACTTACTGGGAATACTCATACACCTCATTCTTAGGTGTACATATATTCCATTTCTCACTTACTGGGAATACTGATACACCCCATTCTTAGGTGCACAGATATTCCATTTCTCACTTACTGGGAATGCAGTTACACCCCATTCTTAGGTGTACTTATATACCGTTTTCTAAACCCTTCTCACTGACTGGGAACCGATAAACCCCACTCTTAGGTGTACATGTGCGAAGTCAACAAAACTAACACTAGAACATTTTTCATCAAATTGACAGGAAATGTCTTTGCAGCTCTTTTCTAAGCTTTTAACCGTCAAACGACGGTGTTTTGTGTCATTTTCATGTCCCATTTGTCAACCCGAAAACAATTAAGCTGCCAATCCCACATTCTATCGTCATTTCATTATATGGCCTGGCATCATTTTGACGTCCTAACTGTCAATCTGAAATACAATTGAGAGCTTTTGTGTCACTCCTGCGAATATAACATTGTCAGGATCATGCAATATTTTATAAAATAAGCTACGAAAATTGGTATCTGTTCCTACATATTTATTGCTCATAAACACTGGGTGAAACATATACTACAAAAATACACATTGAATGCATGCACCAGAAACGTCGCTTGTTTCTTTTCTTCTTCTTTTTGCATGTCTTATCTTTTAGCCTTGTGCCTTGGGTGTTGACCACCAAAAAGAGCCATGGACATTCCTGAAAAGCAAAACCCAGTTGTATACCATGATTAGATACATATAGGACACTGTCAAGGCCCCACACCTTACTTAATGAGCATTACCAAAAACCAGGAACTCAGCCAACTTCATAAATATTTTGCACACCATTGAAGAATAGTGGGGTAAATTTTACCACTTTGGATACAGGTGCAAGGCTGGAAAACCAAAAACACAGATAAAAAGCATGTGTTTTCAATATACTTAAACAACTGATTTTGGCGGTTTTCAACAATGCCAGCCTGTTTCTTATTGCAACTGTGTTTATTTTTTACTAATAAAATGCGCAATTAGCCAAAAAATGCCATAAACAACCTTGTACTCAGTGGCGCCTAACCAGATAAACGAATGCCAACATCAGAGGTGTCCTAATGCAAGCTTCCTTTAAAAAAATTTTCGACCATCTAAAACAGTGCTCTCAAACACATTTGAGTGTAGAGGCCAGATAGCCCACCCCCAAAAGATCGAGGGCTTCTGTAAGGCATGGGGGTCAAGAAATTTGTTAAAGGGACCTTACACTCTCCACATTTTGTAACTTGCAATCTTGACAGTGACATTTCTAGCCATGATTCATTTGTAGTGCTCCCCTTATCCCTTTCCTGATGCAATCACAAGAATTAAAGTGGTACTGCCGCCAACATACTGGCATTTTGTAAGAGGACAAGAGAACAAGTACACTGTTGTTGCCGTTGCTTATTTCCCTCAGGATATATTCAAGCTCAACATGTCTCGAAAGAATGCCTTTTGCTTTTCTGAGAATTTTTGATAGCACCAGTCTGAGCGAATACTTGTATTTTAATGGTGATATTTTCTGAGGGCGAGAATCCAGAGCTCATGAATTTATCTTTGGTGGTTGCTTCTGAAAAGCGAGAGTTCATGCAGTTGAAGTGCATCCTTGGGCAAAGAGCTCGTGGTTGCAGCCTACCAGCGGAATCGTCGTGCAGGTGCTAAATACTAAAAAAAGACAGGAAGGAAAAATAGAGACTAAACACTTGAAAAATAAAAACGAAACTACATTAACTATGTGGATATGTTATAAGAGCATAGCTATAATGCATGCCATTTCTAATGCTTGTTATGAGAACGGGAGCTTGCAGCTGGTTTCCTGTGGGCCGTGTTCAAGCAAGTCGCGAGCTGCGTCTTCAAGCACTGAGCAGATTAGTTTTACCCAGTTATCTATTACCTGCCAGTGCATCATAATCTGTACAATGGTGAATATATTTCGAGTCACTACTTGCGCGCAGCACAGGCTAAGGCAATGCCCGAAGAGGGGAAAGTGCAAGCGCTAGAAAGGCGGGTGAGGAGAGCAACCTCCTCTCATATATAACATTCGTAGTGCTTTCCCCCTCTCCCCCAGCCCTGCCCTCCCCTCCCATATGCCTTCTTAGTGCTCGCCTTTTCTCTCTTCGCATGGCGTTGCATTCACCTGCAGTACACACAACTAGTGACAGGGAGTATAATTGAAGGACGGTACACTCACAGATGTCAAAGCACTTGAAGAGTTCGCAACTTCGGTGCAGTGCCACTGGTTGCACTTTTGTATCGCACTTCAGATGGGTCGATTTGCCCGAAGTACCTGGAAAATAATAAGAATGATAGGATAAATTAATGTGCCATAAACCAGTGCTGGGCAGACACACTCCAAAAAGTGTTCGGGAATACTGAGATACATCTGCTTTAAGGCCAAAAATACAGATACTGAGATACATTGTCTTCTATGCAATGCTATATCCCCGAGGCACTGCTGCGAAACTGGTGAAAAAGTATTCAGGGATACAGATACAATGTCTAGTTGTGTCTGTATTGTAGAGGGTGTAGTTCGTGGAGAATATGTACGGTCAGTGGCGTTCCAACTTGTTTTCGAGTCAGGAAGGGGGGGGGGGGGGGGGGGCGGGGGAGTGCTCTTGGTATCCCTTGGGCGCCGCCGGCCAGTCTTTAACCTGCCCTGTGGCGGCTGTTTTAGGGGGGTGGCAGGGGGGGGGGGACAGCACATGCCTTGCGCCCCCCTTGCCCCCCCCCCCCCCCCCCCCCGGTTGGTACGCTTATGTGAATGGTATCTATGCTTTGCTCCTTTTTTGTGCCATTTTATATGCTGTTCTTACTTCAAACTCTTTATTTATCATTAATGCCGCTAAAGAAAACTGGTCGCCCCGTTGAATCAAATAGTTACAAAATGGTAAAGACTGCGTACCATGCTTGACGAAAGGCGTCTGCAAAAATTCAACCTGTTTTGCTGTGAGGGCAGCCTGTGCATCAGAGATTCGAGTCATCAGTACATGTAATCTAACCAAGTACCAAGCCCAATCACACAATAGAGGCCTAGCAGTCTGACAAGTAAAGAAGAAAAGAAAACAGGGTCCACCGGATAGTCAATTGCTCACCTTGCCAGACGGTGCCTTGGGACTATGGCGGCATCTGCTAGGTGCAGAGCTTCTGGTCTGTGCATCAGAGAATAGGCATTAGCAAACATGATCTATCCAAGCACCAAGCCTAGTTTCAGAAGATACGCTAACAACCCGAGAAAAAGAAAAACAGTCTGCAGCATAGTTGATTGCTTACCTTGCCAGCCAGAGCCTCGGGACTATGGTAGCGTCTGTGCTACAAGCAGAGCCTCTCGCCTGTGCATTTGATTACTCATTAGTATACGTGATCTAGACAAGCACCTAGCCTAGTCACACGATTTTACTTAGCAGCCTGACAAGTAAAGAAGAAGAAAAAAAGAAAATTGGGTACGCAGGGTAGTGAATTGCTTACCTTGCCAGAACGTGCCTCGGGACAGTGATGGCGTCACTGCTAGGTGCAAATAGTCATTAGTAAACGTGACCTAGCTAGGCACCAAGCCCAATTTCACAATACATGCATTACAAACTAAAAAAAAAAAAAAAACAGTGCAGGATAGTTGGTTGCTTACCTGCCCAGAAAGGGCATCGGGACTATGGTAGCGACTGTGCTACAAGCAGAGCCTCTCGCCTGTGCAGTAGAGATGAAAGTCATTAGTACATGTGATCTACGCAAGCATTTAGCCTAATTTCACAATATATGCTTAACAATCTGACAAGAAAACAAAAATCAGCAGGCTAGTTGATCGCTTACCTTGCCAGACGGTGCCTCGAGACTATGGCGACATCTGTGCTAGCAGCAGAGCTTCACTCCTGTGCGTTAGAGATTCGAGTCATTAGTACACGTGATCTAATTAAGCATCTTATGTTATCTCACACTTCACAGGTGCGTGAGATGACTTGCATACTACAAGCACAAGGAGACACTCGCGTTTTTGAACCATTAACACTGCGACACCTAATTGTTGCTGTAGTGTGACAAAGTGTATGCTTCACAAATGAAACATGCAATAAAACGTGTAGTCTAATTTTACAAATTTTGCCCAAGAAAGAGTCTGACAAGTAGGGTACCAACATGACAATTCAAAGTTAGCCAAACTCGAGCTTCGCAAAAGCTAGCATCCCCGGGTACAGCCACTGCACATGTTTCCAAATAGAGCTCTCAAAGTAATGCCAAACTGAGCACCACACACACCGAAGCTGGTGAATGCTGTCCTAGAGTTCCTGCATAGGCTCTCTATGGGAGTCAGAGTTGCGCGTCTTTTATCCACACGCTGACACGCCGCTATTCGCCTAGATCCGATCATGTAAGGAGCAAAATCCAAATACTGTGCAGGAAAGCCGCCGATACGGCCGTTTCGCCGACGTTGCAATCACCTCAACGTACGTTCCCCTGCTTGTCTCCTCCTTTCCTGTTTTTCAGGAAAGGAGAAGGAGCACGTTGCTATTCGCCCAATCCAGTGAGATGAGGAGCAGAATTTCGTCCGCTGCAGGAAAGCCGGTGCTCCGGGGTGAACGCGCAGCTCTGGCTCAGGGTTGGCAGGTTGGGCTATAAACAGCCCAAGTGGGCTACTCAGTTTTGTAATAGGCAGGAAAATCTGGTGGTTGGCTATTAAGCTATGTCATACCCGATATTCAACAATTTTCAAAGCCTTAAACATGATATTTCTGCGCCGGGTAGAGAAAAACAATCAACTCAAGAGGTTAGGAAAGGAAAATATCCAAATCACAAGCGTGCAAATACAATATGTGGACCCTCATTGGTGTTGGTTGCGGAGGTGCAATATCGTTTTTCTGAAGTTTTTTGGCACGATTTAATACCGCAGGCAGGGGTGGAGGCACGTGTTTCCAGAAGGAGGCAGGAAGAGGAGTGGGGGCAGCTTAACAGATGTTTGAGAACCCCCTTTTCTCGCTGCACTAAAATGTACATGGGGATGCTTTATCCTCTTATTGCCTCCTTCTGTAAATAATTGTCTTATGTCATGTATCATGTTACCCGTGTTCCAAAGAGATGTAAATACCGTGTATGAAATTTTATGTGTTGGGCTATTTGTATAGCCCGACATTTGGCTATTCTTGGGCACAATGTCAGGAAATTTTGACGGGTTAATCTGCAAATACCTGGCGACCCTGCTCTGGCTACCGTAGGGGGCCTACGCAGGAACTCCATGCTGCCCTACAGTTCCTGCAGAGGCAGCCTACGGGACTCAGAAGTTGCGCGTTCATCCCAGTAGCTCCGGCTTTCCCGCACTTCAAGTCTGCTCCTCACGTGACTGAATTCGGGGTATAGCGGCCGCTGCGCTCTACCTCCTCATTTCCTGGAAAGCAGGACAGGAGGAGGCAAAAGCGGGGGTATCCACACCGAGGCGCTTGCACCGTCGGCGAAGCCGCCGTACCGGTGGCTTTCTTGCACGGGATTTGGAGTCTGCTCCTCACGTGATCGGATATCGGCAAACAGCGGCGCGGCGGCACGTGGAAACCAGACGCGCAACTCTGGCTGGAGCCTATAATCTCAATGCTGCACTAGAGGACCAGTTCCTGTATATGCTCCCTACGGGAGCCAGAGTTGCGCGTCTATTTTCTACTTGCCGCCGCGCCGCTATTTGCCAAGATCCGACCACGTACCGTGCAAGAAAGTAACGTTGCACGCGCCCCGCCGTACGCACCTCTGCTTTTGAGCGCGCCGCGCGCCTCGTCGGTTCGAGAGTCAATGGTTCAAGTACCCTCTCCATACGAGCAGGGAGGGAATATGGTTTCGTTGTGTCGACCTCGGGGGCGGAAGATTACGCACGATGGGGACAAAGGCGAGTTTGGGGGAGCAGTATCTAGGTCACAGCGCCTCAATGGTTCAACAGGATGTAGCTGACGTTTTGGGTGTGGAACGGGTGGGAGAGGCCTTGCGCGCGCGTTGTTTTCTCGACACTTAGCCTCGTGTCGAGGTGGCAGTACATATTCACTAAGAGGTTCTAAAAGTCGCGTGAGGAGCTGGATCAACATGCCGTGCAGGAAAGACGGCGCTACGAAGATGAACGCGCAACTCTGACTCCCGTAGGGAACCTATAAAAGAACTCTAACTGCCTTGTCCCGAAGCGCCGCCTTAGTTCCATCATCCCCACTGAAAATCGCATTGCATAACCATACATGGAAGCGAAGCCGGTAACAAGCGCGAGCTTGTTGCTCTGCAATCGAACTACGTTTCACCGACAGATCGTTTTATAGATGCACGATGATTCATCGCCAGAATGCTTCATCGACAGCACAAACTACCTTTTTTTTCTGTAAGGAGCTGCCTCACACTGTTGCCACGAAGCGGATAGTACGTGTAGGATACACCCGCGACGAAATGTCCCTACAACGCTAAATCCGCGTAACGACTTTCGATGGAACGGTAGTGTCGACGAACGAGAGTCCTTGAAACATGTCCACAAAAATTGTTTTTTGGCGAAACGATTGAGACCCGTTGCTCTGAATGACGCCAGCTCTACACGCAAGAATAATGTCTCGAAGCTGCGATGTCGTGCTCGTTTGTACACTCAGAGAACCGGGCACCGCCACCGCGCACACATGCCACAAATACAAAAGCGAAGAAACTCTGACATAAACAGGAGAAAAAGGAAAGCACGTCCCCAGCTAGCAGGCCCCGTGCCTCGCAAAACGCAGCATACAACGAGTGCTAGTAAACGGCAAACTTACCTTTATCGGGCGGGCACATCTTGGTTTGTGACTGCAGTGCAGCTACGTGCCAAGCATCGCTTCGTGAACACGATCCGCTTTGTCCAACCACCTTCTAAAAACACACGCAATTCAAAATAGCGCGGATGAACAAAGGCGATGTCACCCGCCAGCCGAAGCAAAAGTATGGCCGCCGAAGCACGCCGAGATGGAATGCAGGAGGTGAGGAGGTCAAGTCTCCTAGCAACACGAAGGCCAGATAACGCGCGAAACGCGATCGCTATCGCGATAGGTTGTCAGTCGGATGACGTGTAACCTGTGACTGCTAATCAGGACGCGCGCTCTACTCTATTACCGCGCGCATTTTGTTTGTTTTTTTGCGCTCTCCTGATAGCACTCCCTCTCCCCTTTTAGAAAAAGGAAAGGGGGGGGGGGGTGTAATGGTGCACCTTTCAACACCCTCGCCTCGCCCGCCGATTCCTTTGGGAGAGGAGGTTTCGCGTGATGGGAGTGCGATTACGCTCGCCGGGTGTCTCCAGTCGAAGGGGGGTGTAAGGGTGCGCGATACACCCACATACACCCTTTTTTTCTGAGAGTGCAGGGCTCCACTTCGCCGAAGCGGTTCCATCTTCCGGTCCTACAGCGGAGGCGTGATCAAACAGATGGGCGTCATCAACCAGCAGGTGACCTTCGATAGCCGATGCTGCAGCCTCGGTTTCTTCGTCGTAAAGAAAAGACGCCAGGCGCTACTAGGTCTCCAGGCAAGTGAATGTCTTGGGCTGGTCGCCCGCAACGTGGCCACTGTAACAACGGACAGCTCTGAGCAACTGCTGGAGGACATTAGCGACCTGTTTAAAGGCGCATGGTGCGTGCAACGCCGATTCAAGGTGGTGCTACGCGACGGCGCAACCCCAGCTGTTCACGCGGCTCAACGCGTTCCTCGGGCCTTACAAGAACAGTTGCGCGACGAACTGAAGAGAATGGAGCAAGCAGCCATAATTACAAAAGTCAACGAGCGAACAGTCTGGGTAAGTTCGCTCGTGGTTGTCAAAATGAAGACGGAAAACTGAGTTTGCTTGAATCCAAAAAGGATCAACGCGTGCATTGAACGGGGGCACTACGAAATGTCGAGATGAGAAGATATACCGGGTGATTCAAGGAGACGGCAGGCTCTTTGAATCGACCGGAAAATTCGGTTTCTTAACCTATCGCGCTACGATTTTGTGCAGCGTTGCCCACAGATGGTGCAGTTTTTTTGTAAAATTTGCAAAGAGCGAACTTAGGTGAAGAAAAAGTAAAGAAAGAAAAAGGCCTAGCTCCTATGGAAACGCAGCGACGCCACCGGTCCTCAAACAACACGGCGCCGTTTCGCACGGGCGACAAGAGATGGCGCAATGAACGCCGCCAACGAACGAGCATACGGCGGCCAGAGCCAGCGGCGCGTAAATACGGGAGGACGTATTTATGCGCCGTAACACAAAGCGTCAGCAACAGCACGGGAGTAGAAGGAGAACTAAAGCCTTTTGACGGCGAGCTATCAGTGGTGAAGGGTATTTTGCTGAAGGGCACGAAAGTTGTCGTACCCGAGGCCATGCGACCCGAGATGTTGAAAAGGATTCACCAAGGCCACATGGGTCTAAATAAGAGCAAAGCGAGAGCGCGTAGATTTGAATTTTGGCTAGGTATTAACGCAGATGTTACATCCCTAATAAAGCAGTTTGGGACATGCAGGGGCTACGCGTACAGTCAGCCAAGAGAACCACTTATCTTGAGCCCGGCACCGGAGTTTCCGTGGTACAGGGTTAAGTGTTGATCTGTTCCAGTACGGAGGAAGCTAATACTTATAGGTATACAATGCTCTTTCCAACCCATCGAATCCCAGTCGAAGTATGCACTGACAATAGACCCCAGTTCTCAAGTGGAGAGTTCGCCCTGTTTGCTCGCAAGTATGACTTCAGACACATAACGTCAAGCTCGGAGTTCCCTCGGTCAAGCGGTTTATCAGAGAAAGGCGTGCAGATGGTGAAGCGGATCCTCAAGAAGACAAAAGGGACTCGCGAAGATTTTTGGCTTGTTTGCTGAGCTATAGATCAACCCGCCTAAAAGTCGGATGTTTGCCAGGGGAGCTGCTGCAAGGATGACGGCTGAGTTCAAGTCTTCCGGACCTGGGTGACCAGACAGGTTTGAAGGTGCAGAAGCACGTCCAGACCGAGCATTCCAGAAGTCCACTTCCGCTTTCGGAAGTGGGCCAGGTCGTCAGAGACAAAAAGAGATGGCGGTCTAAGAAGGCAAAAGTCATCGTCAAGACGCGCCCAAGGTCGCACCATGTTTTAACCGAGGATGGCAGGGTTATTCGGAGGAACAGGCAACATCTACTACCGACAAGTGAGCCTTTCAGGCCAAAAAAGCCTTTAGATGACAGCTCGGACGAGGAAACTCGTATGGACTTACCGTCAGTCGCATCACCGAGCCATCATGATGCTTTAGTGCCTTTGAAGGGGTCCTGCAACGACTTTCTTACTAGTTTTTAATTTGCACCGAACATGACTGCACTTAACTTAATGACACTTTTCTTTTCTCGAATTTCGATTTATTTTAAAAGTTATAGGCCAATTAAAATTACAAAAACAAGCAAATAACAACCTCCTTCATGACGTCCTTGGTCGCTTGAGTGGCCGTGAACAAGAGGAGGGGTAGTGAGCTCAGCGAGCGCTCACAACTGCCGCACTCTGTGTCGACGGCTCGAGAGGGCGCCACTAAAGCATGCTGTGGATAGGCTGTATGTGGCCGGCAGCGAGGGAGTCTCGCATTTCATTTGCTGCGCGATTAAGCACTAATTCGGCATGACACTTCATTGGCCACAAACGACAGCAAACACGGGGTAAAGATAAGTTCAGAATGGGAGCCACTTCGAGCTGCCTTACCGCCGAACTGCCAAACCGGAAGCCAAACCTTCTCGCCGAAAGCCTTGGGAACGCTCGGAACCAGCCGGATCCTCGAGTCCATACGAAAGCTGCGCCGCCGCGTACATCCGGAACCTTTCCGCGTCGACGCCTGATCCCACTACCCCTTTCTAGTATGCGCCGCCTTTTCCACCACTTGGTCGCGGGTATGTCGACGGGTCATTTCTTGTTTCCGTACTTTATAAACTGCATTTGTTTCTTTTTTCGACCCAAAATACTGAACAAAAACAACTTTTATAAATAATTGAAACGGTTCGCGCCACTTATATTTCGTACTTCAACTAAAAGGAAGCTTTTATCGGCTCTGACCAGTAGTAAGCCCAGGACCAAAGACGTCACATATCGCGCGCTTTAGGCACCGCGGGTCGCCCCCATAGGTGGAAAAGGTGTCCGCGTCGTCCGGTTGAAATTTGACGCACTGATATTTAGTTACTCTATCCGTGCCCTTTGGCTTACCCGAACCCCAAGAGACGTGGAAACCGCAAAAAAAGGTAGACGCTTAAATATGACAGCAGGGCCCCTATAAGCAGGCGTTCGCACCCTCCTCCACGAATATCCCAGCGACAAACCAGGCCTCCTACGCGACTCCGCTATGATTGTAACTTTGATGAAGTGCCGTCATGTGTTTGACTTTTTTGTTTTCTTTTTAACTAACCTAATAGTAATGTGATAAAATTTTATTTGAAAGGAAAGGGGGGGGGGGGGGAGTAACGTCTTGCGCTATACAAGATAGCCACGTGGTGAAGCGAAGAAGTGCTGGTACTACCAACACGAGCGCCCGGGACATCGTTTTTTTCTTATTTTTTATATTTATACATACTGCAGCGCCAGCTAGTGGGGCTATGGCAGGAGTAGGGGTATACACAGACGGTCCAGACATCACTCAACGGCACACCGAAATTCATCTGGTTGTATTGACCGGATGTTTCCTGGTAACGAATTCCAGCGTTCAATGGCGTGAGGAAAAAAAACTCTATTTAAACATATCAGTACCAGAATGAAAAGGTAAAATGGTTAATTCGTGGAGGCTCCTAGTTGCAGTCGGTTTGAGAAACTTTATATAGCTATCTAAAAAGTCAGAACGTGTTGAGTTAATCATGAAATACAAAGACTTTAGGCGCTCAATACCACGATGCTTGGAAAGAAGTCTTAGGCCCAACACGGAAAGGTTAGAAGAAGGAGAAAAGTTTCTGTCATACTGACGACAAATAAAACGTACTGATTTCTTCTGAACTGATTCGACTTTTATCGAACTGTTTGTAGGGAAACCAAATAATAGAACCATATTCAAGGATTGGGCGAATCAAAGTTTTAAAAGTTAGAAGCTTAGTATCTTGAGGTGCCATACGTAAGGTACGCCGCAGGTACCCAAGTCGTTTAAGAGATTGATTGAATGTCGTATCAATGTGCTCATACCAAGATAATTCTGGCGTGAAAAGGAGACCAAGATATTTATATTCAGAAACTCTTTCTAGGCATAATCCGTCAAGTGAATAATTAAACAGAGAAGGTGACGAACGCCTGGAAAGGTCATAAAAACGGTTTTACGAAAGTTTAGACTCATTTGCCAGGTTTTACACCACGTACAAAAATTTACAAAAGAATTGCTAAGAGTTATATGGTCATAGGAGGAGTTTATCACGTGATATAGTACGCAGTCGTCAACATAAAGACGTATCTTAGTGGAAACATAGCGTGGCGAATCATTGATGTAAAACAAGAAGAGTAGCGGTCCAAGAACTGATCCTAGTGGAACACCCGATGATACACCAACTGTAACACCTGATGATAGACCAACTGTACTAGATTTGGATGTGTTATAGTAGACAAACGGTGACCGAAGAGAAAGAAAACTGGATACCTAGTTGACCAGGTGATAATTATTTAGAAGTAGGTTAAGCTTGTGTAGAAGTTTACAATGAGGAACTGTGTCAAAAGCTTTTGACAAATCTATAAATATCGCATCAACTTGATTACCGATATCAAGAGACTGACCGATATCATCAACAAATTCTGTTAGTTTTGTCATAGTACAATAACCGCGTCAGAAACCATGCTGGAAATCGTATAAAATATTGTTAGTTTCGAGAAACTCCATAACATGACTGTAGATAATATGTTCCAATATTTGCATGAATGTGACGTTATAGAAATTGGTCTGTAGTTTGACAGTGATTATGAGTTGCCAGATTTCTATACGGGAATGATTTTTGCGAGTTTCCAAG